AACTCCTGAGCTCAAGGGATCCACCTGCCTCAGCCTCCCAAATGCTGGGATTACCATCATGAGCCACCACACTGGCCAAAAACACACTAATTAATTTTCAAATCTCTCATGAAAGCCCCATTCTCCTCCCTCTTGTGCTTGCTCTTGACCTTGCAGTAGTAAAGCCAATACTGAACTCTGTAGAGACACAAAGCAGAGCTCAGTCATCTTGGAAAGGGCACAAATTACAAGGTAGGTATATCAGGGAGGTTTCAGATTCCCTACGGCAGATGTGCTGAGTGAATTTAGTCTGCTTCTTTCAGACTCAAAGGGCAGAGACTCTTTTATATGACTTCATTTTGTGATGTTAGTCAAATTGAGGCCTGGAGGCAGAAAATAGCCCATAAAGGCTGATGCTAGTCCTCTGATTCAATCATCAGAAGAGAGACTTGGGTGGCTCTTAACTTCAGGAAAGCCGCACTTACGATATCCCCTATAAGGCTGATCTTGCAGTATTTCCAAGACTTCCTTTTAAATAGATTCCATGGGCTTTTGAATCATTGTTCTCACAATGTTATATATAATATGCAAATTCTAAAATAAACATAAGCACATGTTAGGATTTTAAATACTAATACATAGGAGGAAGCAGTGTTCCTAATTCCTTTTGACAGTGTCAGTACTGCCAGGGGCCCAGCTGAAGGCCTTCCTAAAAACACAGATAATGCCCGGTGCGGCTCACGCCTATAATCCCGATAATGTTGAAGACTATTGTCGTCTTCAAGGCCTTAGAAAATCACCTCCAGACTCTGGCTTTTAGGGAAAAGGTAATTTGGCTTTTCTGGGAAAGCATGGTGCAATAGATTCATCCAGAAGGGTAAAAAATTCTCATAATCTAAAACTGCAGGTGGAGATATAAATACATTTGGAAAGGAAATTTCTTGAGAGTGTCACTAATTATCCAAAAAGTAATAAAATTACCAGAGGTGACCAGGCGCAGTGTCTCACACCTATAAGCCCAGCACTTCGGGAAGCCAATGCAGGTGGGTCACCTGAGGTCAGGAGTTTGAGAACAGCCTGGCCAACATACTAAAACACTGTCTCTACTAAAAATACCAAAAGTAGCTGGGTGTAGTGGTGGATGCCTGAAATCCCAGCTACTCAAGTGGGTGAGGAAGGAGAATCATTTGAACCCAGGAGGCAGAGGTTGCGATGAGCCAAGATCATGCCTTTGCACTCCAGTCTGGGCAACAAGAGCAAAGTTCCATCTCAGAAAAAAAAAAAGAGAAAAATTACCAGAGGTGTGTATAATAATTGTTTTAAATGAGTACATAAAAGCCTTTTTCTTTATCTATAAATTTATGGCCTTGAACAATAATGTCTTTAGGGCATCATTTTTATATCATCAAGAGCAAAAAAGAAAGTTATTATCACAAAACCAGAGACTCTAGCCTGCTGTAAGGAGTGACAGATGAGATTGTCAGATTTGATAGCAGATTACTGGGCAGATTGTTAAAAATTTGTCTTCTATGGTGATCTTTTACATTTTGACAAATTCTTCCTTGTTTTGAGATGATTTAAACATGTAGTTATGAAGCAGCTCATAACTTTTAAATCAAAGTTGAAAGTTGTCTTTATTGCCTGGAGTACAGGTGTGTCACAGTGAATATATACATAAATAAATTGAAAAATTATGCACATGTTGGAAATCATTCACTTTCTGGTAGTTTCTTCTGGAGAAGTGAAACCGCGGAGAAGAGGAAAGTTGGGAAAACTCAATTTCCATGCTAAGATTATAATTCTCTTACTGTCTAATCTTCTGAGTCTCTTCATTGTGCCTGAGTTTCTCATCACTGAAATGGAAGCTCCACACAGGCAGGGATCATCATCTGTGTTTTTATTTATTTGGTCATTTGTTCATTATTTTTATTTTTTAAGACGAAGTCTCACTCTGTTGCCTGGGTTGGAGTGCAGTGGTATGATTTCGGCTGACTGCAACCTCTACCTCTCAGGTGTCAGAATTCTCCTGCCTCTGCCTCAAAAGTAGCTGGGATTATAGGCATGTGACACCATACCTGGATGATTTTTGTATTTTTAGTAAAGACAGAATTTCACCATGTTGGCCAGGATGATCTTGAACTCCTGACCTCAGGTGATCTGCCTGACTCAGCCTCCCAAAGTGCTGGGATTACAGGTGTGAGCTGCATCTGTGTTTTTAACTGATGTATCCCAATCATCTAGAAAGTTCCTGGCACATAGTAGGCTCTCAATTTATACTTACTGATTAAACAAATCCATAAAATGAATATAATCATAGTAGCCTCTCTATATTTGGCTTGAATGTTTCATGGGGGGAAAATGAGACAAAGGAGTTTGAATCTCCTTGGAAAAACATTCTTATATAAATCCAACTTGAATTAGAGTCAATTTTCTTTCATTGCTTACACAGCCTTCCAAATCAAAATCATTATGAAGCCAGCAGCAGTTGACATTTTCCAGAGGTAGAATGATGCCAGACCTCAGCCTTGTTCACCTCCCTTAGTGTGGCCTCAGCTCTGTGCTGAAATGTGGTAGTGAAAAGACTGGGCTCTGAATAACAGATTCCAGTTTTAGCATTAGATATAAGACCTTGGCCATGTTATTTAACCTTTGATAATTTGCTTTCCTAACAATGGGGACTTGGGTAATATCAACCAGGGAGCTCTAAGGATAAAATGAGATAATTCATGTAAAGTTCTCTGCAAAGTACAGCACAGGGGAAGCACTCCGTAAATGTTAAGTTATGGCATTTTACCGTCAGAGGATTTCTTCTCAGTTCATTTTCTTCTTTTCCTTTTCCTGCGTGAGCACTTGTATCAGTTTTCTCGGGCTGCCATAAACATGACCACAAACAGGATGGCTTACAACAGCAGAAATTGCTCACAGTTCTGGAGGCTAGATGACCAAGGTGTGGGCAGGGCCAGGCTCCCTCTAAAACCTGTGGGAAAGGATCTTCCCTTGCATATTCCAGTTTTTGGTAGCCCCCAACATTCTTGGCTTGTGGTGGCAGAATCCCCATCTCTGTGTCAGTCTTCACATCGTGCTCTTCCTGGGCCTCTCCACATCATGTTCCCTCTATGCATGTCTGTGTCCAAACTTTAACTTTTATAAAGACACCAGTCATCTTGGATTAGGGCCCACCCTGATGACCTCATTTTAATTTGTTTACTTCTGTAGAGTCCCTGTTTCCAAGAGAGATTACATTCTGGGTACTTGGGATGAAGACTTAAGTGTATTTGGTGGAGAGGGACGAAATTGAACCCATAATAGAACAGCAGACAGGAAAAAATGATGGACTTAGAACAAATCCTCAGCTAGCAAAACAACAGCATGATTCTTTCTTCTCAACTATGTGTGCTTTTTCCTTCCCCAGTGGGATGGATCATATAATTTGGCAGCAAATGAGGAGCTTGTAGGTTTACACTACCTGCCTCACTAACAGTCTACATCCAAAAAGGTCACTCAAATTCTACAGACATGGGTTACTTCACTATAAAATGAGAGGACTGGGCCAGATGATTCTACCATGTCTTTGAATTTCAAAAGGTCATGTTTATGAAGTGTGGATTTCTTTTTCTCAACTACAGCCAGGGTCTACCTCTCCTGAATTCTCTGTGCGTCTTGATGTTCCTGTAACTAATAATAAAGGCTCCCACCATTACCACAAAAAATCAGCATATATGTTAATTAGTCTGAGCAGTTTCACAACACATACATATATCGAAGCATCACCCTGGGCATCATAAATATATATAATTTTATTTATCAGTTAAAAAATGAAGAATAAAAGGGCTCTGATATATCTCAGGCATTTTCAGTGTCCCAATGTATACTTGGGATACAATGGGATTAGAATGCCATTGTTCATAATGCTATTTAATGAGAACACTTGTTTTTTCAAATGAAAGTTTTATTAGATTTAGATTGATAAAATATCTAAATGGTGTCAATGAGCCTTTTTGTATGTGTTTTTATTGCTTTCTGAAATTTTGTAAAATTTGTAGACATTTGTTTTAATGTCAAAGACCCTCCACATAGAAATAAGATCTGAGATATGAGGGTTTGTACTATGTGTCTTTTTTGATTATAGTAAAATACAACTCCTGTGAAAGTCACAAAACCAAATTTCAAAGGATTAGAGGAAATGAGAGTTTACAGTTGTCCCTATTATCTGCAGTTTTTATTTCCCCAGTTTCAATTATCTGTGGTCAATTGCAATCTAAAAATATTAAATGAAAATTTCCTGAAATAAACCATTTTTAAGTTTTAAATTGCAGACTGTTGGGAATAGTGTGATGAAATCTCACACTGTCTCATTCCCGTTCCCCAAGGATTTGAATCTTCTCTTTGTCCAGTACATCAGTGCTGTCTGTGCTACTGGCCTATTAGTTATATAGTAGCCGTCTCGGTTATCAGATCAACTGCCATGGGTATCCTAGTGCTTATGTTCAAGGAACCCTTCTTTTACCTAATAATAGCCTCAAAGCACAAGAGTGGTGATGTTTGCATATTATTATAATTGCTTCATTTTACTATTAGCTGTTGTAATTAATTTCTTACTGTGCATTATCTTGGGTATGTATGTATGAATAGGAAAAAACATAGTATATATAGGGCTCAATATTTTCAGGCATCCACAGGAGATCTGAGAACGTATCCTCTAAGGATAAGGGGAGGCTACTATAAGTGGTCCGACAGATTCACAGACTACTGGCAACTTTCCTGAAAGTTTGCTTAGATTATCATTATACTTAAAAGTACAGACTACCATTATACTTAAAAGTCTACTCTGCCACAGCTAGAAGAAAATTTAAGAAAGAAAATAAGAACTCAATGCCAACTCTGGGATGTAATAGCTTTAGAGTGCCTTAGCCAACAAGGGTTGACCATGGATAGATTCAAGATCACCAAATGGCATTTTCATGGCCTTGTGTGAAAACTGCTGTCCTAAGTGTTCACAGAATTGTTTCTTTCTCTTTCAGCTTCCTCTATTCTCAAAAGAGAGAAGCGGCTGAGGACAAAGAATGTACATTTTAGTTGTGTCACCGTGTACTACTTCACCAGGAGACAAGGCTTCACAAGTGTGCCCAGTCAAGGGGGCAGCACCCTGGGGATGTCCAGCCGCCATAACAGCGTGCGCCAGTACACCCTTGGCGAGTTTGCAAGGGAGCAGGAAAGGCTCCACCGGGAGATGTTGAGAGAACACCTCAGGGAGGAAAAGCTGAACTCCTTAAAACTAAAGGTAATAAACAAACTCATTTTCTGCAAAATCGCATATCCTTACAGCAATTTGATTGAGTTAACCATTTTCATATTTATAATTATGAACCAAACTGGGCATTTTAGAAAACAGACTGCTTGCTGACACTTTTTTTTAAAGCAAAACAATATAGTCTCTTTACTGAAAGCAATGTAGGAAAGTTACCTGACATCATTTATTCATTCATTCCACCAGTATTTACTACTGAACATTGGTAGATCATATACACTGTGCTTAGGCTAGGACTAGCAGGTGACCAAAAATAGATGCAGTCTCTCTCTACAGGAACTTATACAATAATAGAAACAAAAAATATTAAAGTGCTAAACGAAATAAAAGCACGACTTTATTAGAGTGCAGTGAAGAGTTGCAAGGTATTGTGAAAGTTTATGTCAGGGAATTGATGTGGTCAAGGAGAGATTCCTCAAGGAAATGAAATCAAAATCTGAAGAGGTGACTAGGTAAAGAGAACTGGCAAGAGCATTTCAGGCATCAGGAAAACCCAGAGCTACTGTACTAGTCACACCCGAGACTAGGCAATTTGTAAAGAAAAAGATATTTAATGAACTCACAGGTCCACATGGCTGGGAGGCCTCACAATCAGGGCAAAAGGCACTTCTTAATGGTGACAGCAAGAGAAAAAGTGAGAGCCAAGTGAAAAAGGAAACCCCTTATAAAACCATCAAATCTCATGAGACTTAGCACTACCATGAGAACACTATGGGGCAACCGCCCCCATAATTCAATTATCTCCCACGGGGGCCCCTCCCACATGATGTGGGAATTATGGGAGTTACAATTCAAGATTTGGTGAGGACACAGCAAAACCATCTCAGCTACCTTGTGCCAGGAGGGAGAGCAGTGAGCCCACAACAGCATGTGTGGCTGAAGCAGAGGCAAGAAAGGTACAGTAACACGAAGGAAGCAAAAGTGAGGTTTTGTAAACCACATTAAGGTATTTTTTTCCTCTTCTTCCTAAGGCCATGAAAAGTTATCAAGAGTTTTAAGCTGAGTTGGAGTGGCAGGATCTGATCCAGCTCATGCAATGGTGGAAGAAAAGGTTGTGGGTGGGGTAAGAGTGTTGAGAGGGGATGGGATATATGAAGTTAGACCAGTTAGGAGGCTATTGCTACAGTCTGGGAGAGAGGTGACAATAGGTTATGTTAGACTGATGATGGTAGGGGAGTCAAGGAGAGATGAATAGAGGGAGAAATTTACCAAGCCAAATTAACAGTGTTTGATGACAGGTTGGATTTAGGAGGAAGAGAAGGGAGTTGTGAGGAATAACCTCTAAATTTCTGGCTTGCAAAACTGAATGGGTTATAGGTGACAGTAGTGTTTTGCTATGATAAGAAACACAGGAAGGGGACAGGTTGGGGGTGGGATGTGCAGAGTGAGATCATTTTTGGACATACTGAGTGTGAGAGGCTTTTGAGTTATCAAGAGATGTCAGGAAAGTATCCAAGTGGAGAAACTTATTTTTGTGCCACTTTAGAGATGAAATGGAGAGAAATACGACACTAGAAACATCCTTTGTCAACTAAAGACTCTCTTCCACTGGATTATCACCTTATCAGTTCATAGGAAATATTTTCCCATTATTATCTAATGACAATGAAAATCTTTCTTAGGTAATCCAGCGTACTTAGCATAAATGGTCATTTGTTGAATATCTGAAGCACCAAAAACACAGCTGGGTTAGCCTTACTTTTAGTTTTCAGAATAAAGTCAGCCAGGAGGGGTGTGATGTGCATTTCGAAACACCTTGTTTTTATGTACTTTGCAATGTTGTATGTGCCATGTTCCCAACTGTGTGACAAAGCAGTCATTTAAATTAAGCTGGATACAAGCTAACTTAGAGAATGTCTCATATTTCCTTTAGCAGTATTTTTGGCAGGTTTCATTGAAAGTCTCGGGTGTCATTAAAAGTTCTGTCAGTTGCATTCCACTATTACTGTTTTTTATGCTTGCTCTGCATGTAACTTAATTTAGTAAACATTCTCAGATTTGCTTCTGAAATCCACCCTCTGCCTTTGTCACCCACAGCAAATCAACTCTACCCCCTACCCAAAGAGAGAAGTCATTTTTCAAATTCAAATCTTGTTAGCACAATAGTAATGGCTGCCAATTATTAAGTACTTTTTATTTGCCAGGTACTTTATGAACATGATTTAATGTAACCCTCAGGAAGACCCAAAGGAATAGGTAAATTATTAGAACATGTTTACAACTGAGAAAAAAAAAAAAAGAAGCACAAAGATGTTAAGCAACTGGCTCATTCAAATAGAAAATGGATTATATTATTTTATTACTTCCTATTCTTGAGTAAATTGATTAGCCCTCATAGGCATTGAGAAATACAAACTTTGCACCTACAGGGAGTCATCCTGTCTGGGGTTTGGTACTGTGTGCAGTGGTTTTTAACAGTTGGGGGACTGACATGCTATCTGAGAACCAAAAGATTTATTGTGGTGAGCGTTGAGGCACATGGTACATATGATGAATGTTAGGAGAAGCCACAAACCTACAGCAACCTTCCGCCATGTGCTATGTACTGTAATTTGTATCCAACTACTTCCATACATTTTTTTAAACAAGCTGAATGAGAAAAGAAGGAAAAAAGAAAGACCACTCTATTACTGATTTGTTTTTTAAAATTCTGCTTAGTGTGGGATGTTGGAGAGGCAATCATCTGAGCGAGTGTCAGGTCTCAGTTTGTTATTAGTAAGTGAAAACACAGGTTTCCCCTTTGGTGAGATGTCGACAAAAGGCATTTGGTTATCATCACTATTTACAAATAAATGTCAACTTAAAAGATAATGAGATTTTGAGGTGATCCGATCTTAACCTCACTGTACTTAAAGTATTCAGAAATATATGTCATATAAAGCTGAAAGATCACAGCAATGTGAATCAGCTTTCTTAAAACTCTGAGGAGAATTAATGGAGAAAAACTTGTGTACATTTTAATTGTAACTCCTCTAGCATATTAACTTTTATGATTTTAAAAATATTTACCATGATTCAGCTATCCAAAATCAGCTACCTCAAAACACAGCTATTCAAAAATTTCACTCTGATACTTGAAATTTCACTTTTAATGTGATATTTGTTTGAAATATAAATACCTCTGGTGTAAGTAACAAGGTATAGATGCTCCTCAATATGTGATGCAATTATCTCCTGATAAGCCCATCATAAATTTAAAAGATCATTAAGTTGAAAATGTATTTAATATACCTAACCTACTGAACATCATGGCTTAGCCTAGCCTGCCTTAAGCATGCTCAGAACACTTTCACTGGCCTACCCAGGAGGAAGATCATCTGGCTACACAGTGCACCATAGGTAGCAGCTGTTCATCATCATGACTACATGGCTGGCAGAGCTGACAGTAGCAATACCCTGTATCGTGCGAGGGTATCGCTAGCCTAAGAAGAGATCAAAATTCAAAACTCAAAGCCTAGTTTCTACTGGATGTGTATAGCTTTTGCACCATCATAAAATCATAGAAAGAAAAACCATCATAAACCAGGGACCATTTGTAAATGTGGCTAAACTGATTTTATTATTTTGACCGGGGCAGCAGAAGGGTCATTAGTACAGAAGAGGACTCCAGAAAGAAAAGTAAGGATTGTTAAAAGCAAACTTTGCCCACTGTGAGTTGGCCTGAATTTGTCCTTTGTGAGTGGCAGTGAACTGCCTGCTGAGTAAGGAGTGAGGAAAGGCAGCATCTGACAGGGCAGACATTTTCCAAAGCCATCGATATGGAAACACGTAATATACCATGGGAAACTCATCGAACTCAGAACTAAATAGTTTTCCTTCTACTTATTTGAGAACCCACAGCCCCAAAACAGGAAGAAGCAGCTTCTCTTTCCACTGTGCCTCAGTATCTTTCCAGGGTGTCTCTGCTGAGTTCCTAATAGAGAATCCATTTATATAATGGTACCTCTCTCAGTTGGGCTTTAATAGAGAAATATGTGAAAAAGAAACACACATATATACACTCCTCGATGTTATGAGACACATTTGGAAAACAAAATAGAAGTAGAAATGTATGTTTTAATTATAAAATTGCTCCTAATTTAGTAATTCATCTTCCAATCAAGTTATGAGTTATATATATCAAAAAATAACATGTAAGTATTACCTCAGTAGAACAAATCCAATTCTATTTGGGGAAGTTTAAGTGTGTCTTTTTGTTGTTGGTGGTGGTGGTGTTTCAAATGTTTATAAACAACTAATAGAGAAAGCTGATTGAATAAAATGCATGCTCTGGAAGAAATAAGTAGCTTTAGATTTCTAAATTACAGAGCACAGTCCTTCCTCTCTATCAAGCCCATTCAAACATGTCATACTCTTCACAGTAATCAATGCAGTCATCTTAATACTATACACTTTCCAAATTAAGTGCTTAGATTTCATCATCTGCACTACATTGTTGAACAATTACATTAGCCTTTATTCTCAATTCACATGTATCTGTAAAATGCATTAGGCAGGCATTTGTATGTTTTAAAGAGCATTGGTGTTCCATTTGCCTCTGGGTTCTATCATACTGAATTTTACTACCTTGTTCTAAGAAATTTAATTTAGTCTTCACAGCTTTGGCTTGCCTCTTAATATTTTTTCAGCCCAAGTTGTTCCTCTTATTTCTGAGATCCAAGGATCTATCCTCATTCTTGCTGCCATTTCTAACTGTTTTTCAGAATTATGCGCTTTTCTCAATTTTTCAGTCATATGTTTCTTGAGTAATGCTTGGTTATTACTTGCTCTCCTTTCCTCATTTAAAAAAAAAACAACCAACAAAAAACAGTTGCCCAATGGTAACTCTTCCTTTAATGATTTTTAACCTTTAAAAAAAACTCTGTATAAAATATTTTCATCCCACATCTCAGATTTATGACTTTGCTTTACCCATTCAGTGACTTACTCATGTAATATTATAATTCTCCTTTTCACCTCCAGCCCTTCCCTTTGTATCTCCTCAAAAGTCTTGTGATTTATCTTCCCGATAAGGGACTTAAATGCCCTGAGAGTTATAAAGGTTTAGAGGTTTTTGAGAGACGGTTGAACTATATCAATCGTCAACATTTTTGGATGTTTTTAACTATTTCCCCATACTCTGATTCTTTATTAGATGTGTCAGAACCTGCTGGTCATATGTTTGAACTCCACTCACCCCTGCAGAATTTCTGTTAGACTATAGAGATTACACCACAGCATACTTAGTGTCGGAGCTTCTGGAATGTATCTCCAAATGGAGGCCCACTTTAACATCAAACGGAAAACTCTGACGTGCCAGATACCTGCTGTGTCACATACACAACCTATATTGACAAGTCCTGTACAGAGAAAATAAACCTAAACAAAGTGATGGAGACTGAAAAGGTGGGCTGCAGCCCTGGGCAAATGCAATACATTTAAGAATATGTTCTTTCAAAATATTGTTGGCATTTTAGTTTAAATGGAACAACTAAGTGTATGTAATCAAATCTTCACTTTCTTTCTCTGCAACAAACATCGGACTGTTAATTTAGGGAAGTCAATTGCACTGATTCTCCTGATTAAAGTGTGGGGTACATTCAGTGGTGTGCTGGAGCCAGCTTGCTGAAGTTGCTCACTCAAGTGGATTGTGTACATCTCTTCCCAACGGTAGCTTGAAATCAGCTATGATGGGAGTATGTAAACCATGGGATTTGGCAAACATGACAAATTAGAATTTTTTTTCAAGAGTGTCAGTTGTTAAATATTTACTAGCATGCTACTGAATCCGCCTGGCTTATTAGCTATCACTGAAAGAGGCAATGTTGGTCTAAATCAGAGAAGAGAAGAAAAGAATTTGAGAGGAAATTTTTATACGTCTTATATGTTGACATTATCATTATCCCTCTTAGTGACAGTGTGGTAATGTGTATTCCGGGGTCCTCTTGTGACTTCAGGGTGTTGAAATTCTCATAAGCTAACAAAACAACCAAATATTCCTGGTTCTTCGAGAGCATAATTAAATTGGTGCCAGTTTGCCACCTACAATTAACAGCTAATGAGCTAAAGAACTATAAGATTTGACAGAATATCCAAACGATATACATATTTTCCTTTAGTTTTTCAGAGACGCTACGGACTGGGTCATCTGTCCAATTCCAGCCTCTTATTGAACAACTCTGCTGATCCAGAGCACACAGCTTTTAGAATGGGCCACTTCATTTTGCAGCTTTAATTGTTAGAAAGCTCTTCCTTACATTGAGCAACGTGCTGCCATGTGACTGCAAACTTTTGACCTCAATTCTGCCCCATAGGTACACAGAGTAAATCTTCCCTATTTTCTGAATTCCGGATGTTTGAAAGCAATGGTGGTGGACATGCACATACTTGAAGATAGCGTATGGGCTCTATGTGTTTCTGTTCTGCAGGATTAAACGTCCTTGATTCTTTCCACTGATCCTCCTGGGGTATGGCTTTTAGGCTCTTTGCTGCCTGGTTTCCCTCCGCTGGATACAGTGCTATTTATGTCTCCCTCATAATATGGTACTTGATCTGGACATGGTACTCCAGGAATGTGTTACATTATCCTCATTTTGTAGATGTTCTTTCCATGGAATACATTAAAGATACAGTGGCTTTTTAAACTGTGATTAATATTTTTCTTCATATTAAGCTGGCAGTAAGCAAAAAACAAACAAATAAAACTAAAAACAAAAAAGCTAAACTCAGGTCTTTTAAGCTGAGTCTGTGTTATAAATCAAAATTTTGTAACATCTCCATGGCAAAAACCCTCTTTAGTGCTCGACATGGCCTGCAGAGAATGATCAGTGAAGTTATGTTACATTTAATTTCAATAAACTTGGGCTTGTCGTCTCCAGATGGGATAAGCCTGCCTTTTAGGTCTTCATCCAAGTTATTAACTTAAAACTGCATTTAACAAAACAGTGCCAAGTTTAGGATATCCTCTTAAGGTAGTGATCCTCAAGGGTAAAAGGAGAAGCACCCCACCATGCCCTCCATGGAGAAACATTGCCAGGGTAGGCCACTGATAGTTTATAGAGATGCCATATCCCTCATTCCTGGCCTCTTTGGTGGTACAAAGGAGGCTGAGTATCACCGGTCTTAGAGATGTTTTTACTGCTCAGCCTCCCAAGCAGCTGGGACTACAGGTGCCCACCACTATGCCCAGTTAATTTGTGTGTGTGTGTGTGTGTGTGTGTTTTAAGATGGGTTTTCATCATGTTACCCAGGCAGGTCTTGAACTCTTGGCCTCAAGTTATCTGCCCACCTTGGACTCCAACGTGCTGGGATGACAGGCTTGAGCCACCACACCTGGTCTTTGTGAAATGTTTAATGTACACTTGCTACTGTGTTATTTCCTCTAAGAAAGTTTCTCTGCTTAGGGCAAAGTCCAAACTTCTATTTGTTTTTTAATACATTCCAAGTTATCCAGGTTGAAGATTTTTTTCCAATAAGTATTTTTATCTAAATGTTGAATGTTTTCCTGTGAAGATGAGACAATGATGTCTCATGTTGCAAGTATTTTAACTATGTGATGGATGAACTGTTAAGCTCGCCAAGCATAGTAATAATTATAATTAATGAATTTTAGGAAGTAACAAATTTAAATATGAAAGGATGAAAATCCCTTCTGTATTTAGAACTTTCATGATTTTTCTCATGGAATTTCTGCATTAATTCTATGCGGCTCCTCAGGATAGATATCTTGCTCATATTCAGGGAAAACTCCTTTTCTTAATGCTTTTTTATGAAGGAAACATAACATGATATGATAGTAAAAAAAAATGAAATACTGATTCAGGGTTTACTGATTGATGAGATTAATTTAGAGAAGAAATATAAATAGAAGCAGATTAGTCATGGGTATGTGAAAGTTTCCACATGAGCTATTATGCAGAAGGTACCATTTTGGGTGAGGGTTTGTGTGAACTCCTCTGAGGGCAGAGTTGTTTCAGTTGTTGTTTGCTGAGAGCTTGTGGACCCGGCCCTCTGTTCTTTGTCTTACTCAGAGCATGCTGACCTGGCTGATTACTTCGTATCAAGCCCTCATTCTTGGAACGTTCTGTAGGATAATTGTATTTGTAATCCCAATAGCACAGTGCAGCACACCTTTATTTCCTGGTGCATGGCTTTGCCGGAGCTCAAAAGACAGAGTTGTTATTTCAAGGACAATATATTTGCTGAGTTAGGTGGTGATGGCTTCCACAAGGATGCTATTACCTCTGAACAAGGACACGTTATTCCAACATTGGAGCTACCTATCATGAACTGAGTCTAAAGATAGCTTTCACTGATGAGCATTTGTAACCTTTGGTCTTTTCACATGGTACTCTCTAAAAGCTCTAACAACTGTAGCTCCTAACATTAGGAGGTTATGAGTTTCAATTAACAGTCTTCTGTCACTAGTACGTTTAAAAATCTAACATTTTGATGCCTTTGTTTTCCTTTCTGAGATTTCTCCTAAAGATTAAAAGAAATGATCTTTCAAACACTCGTTGATTACAGGGGACACGACGACATATAAGTTTATTCTCACCAAGTACAGACATAGAGATTTTGTACCCTGCCCTTGATGAGTCTCTTATTTGCTGCTTTGTGTTTGTAGATGACTAAGAATGGCACAGTGGAATCAGAAGAAGCCAGCACCCTTACACTGGATGACATTTCTGATGATGACATTGACCTAGACAACACAGAGGTAGATGAGTACTTCTTCCTACAACCTTTGCCAACAAAGAAACGAAGAGCTCTGCTGCGTGCCTCTGGAGTGAAAAAGATTGACGTGGAAGAAAAGCATGAGCTGCGAGCCATCCGCCTCTCGCGAGAGGACTGTGGCTGTGACTGCCGAGTGTTCTGTGATCCAGACACATGCACTTGCAGCCTGGCTGGCATTAAGTGCCAGGTAAGAGTTTGGATTTCAGGGCATCCATAGACCAGACATTATCCAACGCCCCCTAAGGAGGCAGTCATGGTACTTATAATGAAGCTTCCCCCATGTAAAAGAAAATTTTGTGGCAAGGCAAGACACGTAATTCAGGAAGAAAGACAAATTTAAGGACAATCATGGGAATACGTAAAATGCTTATGCATATAATATATAATTTGAAAGGCAACCCAAGCATCAGCTGAGTTAATTAAAATCATTTTATCTTGATTCTTGTATTATATCTGCTTATTTCATCTTTTTATTGGTATTCAAAGAGATCATGACATCCCTAACACTGGAGTGTGTATTTTCTGATCCACCCCTGGAATATAGTACGATGATTGATTAGAGGTTGTTGGATTAGTGGAAAAGTTACTAGATTGGGACCTCAGAAAACTAAATTGTACTCCCATCTTTGCTATTTGCCAACTATATAAAACTGGCAAGTCAGGTAAACCCTCTGGGGTTACTTCCTTTATCTTTAAAATGAAGGAGCTGAACTAGGTCAGGGGTTGACGCACTGTAAGTTCACAGGCCAAATCTGACCTTGCCGCATGACTTTGTAAATAAAGTTTGATTGGATCACAGCCACATTTTTATCTTTACGTATTGCCTATGACTGCTTTCTTACTCCTACAGCAGAGTTTACTATTGTGGTTGCCTCAGAGCCCATATGGTCCACAAAGCCTAAAATATTGATTCCTTTGACCTCTGTAAATAAAAAGTTGACCAACCCTTGATGATTGGCAATTAGATAATTATCTGGTCCCATTCATTTATAATGTCATTGGCGTCCTATAATTAGTGCCACTATTTTATGCAGAAACTTGGCTTTTTCAATAAGGAGAGAAATAGGTAGGCAAAAGAAGAGGGCAGTGCCTATCTGCTGAACAGTTGCTTAAGATGGATTCACAGAAAAGGGATTCATGAGTGAAAAAAAATACAGATACATATTCTGGCTCTAATATCTACTGTACTTTTTACTGGGGCTGAGATGATTGTATTAGGATAGTCTGCCTTCTCTTCTATAGCATAGGAAATTCCCTGTGCTGGATAAGGTGACAAGCAGAGCAAGTTTTTTTCTCTTGCCTGCACTCTGGTCTGCATACAGATTGATCTGTGGAGTCTGAGACAACTGACAAATCTCTCATGAATGCCCTTGGATTGTCCAAAACTCCACCTCTCACCTGAGTGAAGAGGTCAGTCCAACACTTGTTGAACCTAATCACTCTATCTCCAGTGTCCAATCACTAGAATAGTTTTGAGATATTGATGAAAAGTACATGCCCTTCCTTCAAGAAGTTTGTATCTAATGGAATGGGGAGGAAAGAGGGGGGTTCAGGACCTAAATACATGAGTCCACCAGTCACAGTCATGAATGTGCATATCCACTGGAGCCCTGAAGTTCAGTACACTCCAAATCAGATCTCTAAGAACTATTCTGAAAGAGACACTGAGACACTGTCAAAAGTGATACCCTTTCTCTGGGTGCCTTAGGCCATGACCCCAGAGCAATTCATTGACTATGCCTGACCAGCAGAAGAGGCCTATGGTGCCTCCCACTATCCAGCTGCCAAACCCCTCTGTAATTGTTTGCTGCTCCTCTTCTGAAAATAGCACTGATAGCCAAGTGCCCTGAAATCGTTTGTGTTCTGACCACAGGTCCAATCACACATGTACCCATATACCAAGCACCCCAAACAATGAGGAGGTAAACAAATGAGAGCAAATTGTGAGGGTGTGTGATGCTAAGTGGTGTAAGTCTATTTTATAATAAGCAAAGAGAAAGGCAACTGTATAATAAGCAAAAGGAAAAGTTAACATGGGGCATATCATATAAGTTAGATTAACGGCATGGGGAGAGGAGTGGAGTAAGTTTGCTTGTTTAAAATCAGGCACATGAACTGGGATGCAGCAGAAGGAAGGGGGACTTGGGGAAAAGACAGAAGCACTGGAAAAATGGGAGCAAAATTAAAGAATTGGAGGGACGGGAAAGTGGGGAATAGAGAAAAAAGGGAAGAAAGCCATGGAATGGGTCAGTGAACTGAAAATACATACCTGTAACCATAACCCACTTTTATTTTAATACAGGTATAAAAAGCAGTTACCGCTTACGTTTTAAGCCCTCACTTTCCCCTTTTCATTCCTATTTGAGGTTTGGTTGTCATTTGCTCTGGCATACGTGGCATTAAGTGGATTACTTAATTCAAAGAAGTTACTAAAAGGTTCTCGGATTTTATTTGGTTTGTAATAGTTCCACGGTGCTAATCTGTGTTCTTCCTTCCAAGGTGGATCGTATGTCTTTCCCATGTGGCTGCACTAAAGAAGGATGTAGTAACACAGCAGGTAGAATTGAATTTAATCCCATCCGTGTTCGGACTCACTTCTTGCACACAATAATGAAACTTGAACTGGAGAAAAACCGAGAGCAGCAAATCCCCACACTGAATGGCTGCCACAGTGAGATAAGTGCTCACAGTAGTTCCATGGGCCCTGTCGCTCACTCGGTAGAATATTCAATCGCAGACAGTTTTGAGATTGAAACTGAACCCCAGGCTGCAGTGCTGCACCTGCAGTCGGCTGAAGAATTAGATTGCCAAGGAGAGGAGGAGGAAGAGGAGGAGGATGGGAGCAGCTTTTGCAGCGGAGTCACAGATTCTAGCACACAAAGCTTGGCACCTAGTGAGTCAGATGAGGAGGAGGAGGAAGAAGAAGAGGAAGAGGAGGAGGAGGATGACGATGATGACAAAGGAGACAGCTTCGTGGAAGGTTTGGGCACCCATGCGGAAGTTGTCCCTCTTCCTTCAGTTCTTTGTTATTCTGATGGCACCGCCGTTCATGAAAGCCACGCAAAGAATGCTTCTTTTTATGCCAACTCTTCAACTCTGTATTACCAAATAGATAGCCACATTCCAGGAACTCCAAATCAGATCTCTGAGAACTATTCTGAAAGAGACACTGTCAAAAACGGTACCCTTTCGCTGGTGCCTTACACCATGACCCCGGAGCAATTTGTGGACTATGCCCGACAAGCAGAAGAGGCCTATGGTGCCTCCCACTACCCAGCTGCCAACCCCTCTGTAATTGTTTGCTGCTCCTCTTCCGAAAATGATAACAGTGTGCCCTGCAATAGTTTATATCCTGAACACAGGTCCAGTCACCCTCAAGTGGAATTTCACTCATACTTGAAAGGCCCCTCCCAGGAAGGGTTTGTCTCTACATTGAATGGTGACAGTCACATTTCAGAGCATCCTGCTGAAACCTCTTTGAGCCTTGCAGAAAAGAGCATATTGCACGAAGAGTGCATCAAGTCACCTGTGGTTGAGACAGTCCCTGTTTAGTAGCTTAAATTATTCTAGGACCAACTCTTCTCCTATTTAAGGCACTGTATTTAATTGGATTTCCTGGGCTCATCATTGTTTAAACTGAAGACCAAGAAAACTTGGACGGTGTTTAATCTTCCAGACTGTATTTTGTTTTTTCCTTTCTAGCCACTTGACTGTGGCATTGCACAAATACAGTCTTCTGTAGGGATTTTAAAAGACTTCAGACTGTTTTGATAGAAAATGCTAAATTTTAAAAATGCATATCTCACAGTTGCCTACCTGTCAAACTGTGTGAAACCTGCCAAGCTGTGTAGATCAGAGCTCCAAATTTTGGATTATCGGGCCTGTGCAAGTTTGTTAACTAAGGCTGGGAAATAATAAGATTTAGAATCCTAATTTTCGATATATCTGAAGATAATGGTGACTTTTTATTGTAAAAGTAATTATTGTCAGAAAAAGATATAATTGTTCAATGTGTATTTTATTTATGGTAGTTTAGAAGTCACGTTTTGATGAAAATGAACAGCCGCATGTTCATTCCAGCTGAAGATACATAGCTAGTTCCACAGAGCATGCCCACATGGATTGCATCTGGAATCCATTCACATTTCTGTGATCATCACTGATCAGATTTGCAAAATTCTGAAGGGTGAAATAGGCCTATTTTTGCTATTTTGGGCAAATAAATGATTCTATATGTGCAGGTCCTTACACAGTTTTCTCTAAAGTTAAGAGTTAGGACAATCCTCTAGGGAGAGGCTAGTTCACTGCCCTCCCTCAGCTGACTCCAGAGATGGAGGTAGAAGGAATTGCCTTTCTTTTTTAAACAGCATCATCTTGGTTCTTAGCTTGGACAGCACCTTTAAGCTCTACCCCCTACATCAAAATGCACTTTAGTGCCCCTTCACGGTACCTCGTGTGGGGTGGGGACTGAGAACTTTTTGAGATGAAAAAATAAAAAATAAAATTTTTAAAGATCTTAACTATTATAAGATTCATATACTTAATATAGAGGAATCATCCAATGATACTTATGAAGGGAAAATGACCTATTTGCCTTCGCCACTCTGAGGACCTAACTCAGTAAATGCAGAGGCGGCTGAGGAAACATGGAAGAGACACGACCTCAGCAACCAGCCTTTTCTCCAGCGCGATCAATCCATCTTTACAAAATCAGTGTAAAGTGAGATTTCCACTTAGTGACTAGCTGATTGAAGGGGAGGGCCTCTACCCATACTCAGCTAGGCCTTTCTTTTCTGAAGCATTTCGATTTGTCTTGCCTGGGACAACTAGCAGAACAGTCCAGAATTCATTGCATACTTTCTAATTACCTCACATTCTCTTATTAAAGAGAACAGATAGAAATAAAACATGCACTCCCCACCTTTAGATAACCTGCACTTGGTTCGTCGGAGGACTTCTAGGATCCCGTTTTCCTGTAAATTAATTTAGGTGACTAAATAGTGTATTCTACCTTTTTTTTTTTCCAATGCAATATGACTATGCTAAACCTGTTTCACATTTTTGACCTTCTATTGTTACATCACTTCACGTTTTATAACTATTTGAAATGCGGAACATGCCTTGCTATTCAGTGACTGCATCGCTACTTATTTTTTATGTCTTTTAGACTTGGGTGTTTAGAATTATGGATATAAATATATTGTAGATCTCAATTTCTTAAAATAATATTTTATCTAATTGAACTTAAAAATGCTTGATCTAGAGAAAGTCCTCCAATGGAAAAGTTTCTACTAAAATTTGTTTTGGGGGAAAAAAATGTTTACTTGTCAGCTCTTCCACTGTGCAGTTGATTTCTGCTCCTTCTCTCCCCCTCCCCTCCATTGGGCCAAATTTATAACCATTAATATTAACATTAAAAGAGCTTTGCGTTTGTCTTTATGTAGGTTGCAGTAACTAGGTCAGGGTTGTTCCTTTTGAATGATTGGCCCTTTGAGCTAATCAGATTGGGGATTCGTTGAAATCTCATATATATATACATATGTATATATACATATATATGTATACATATATATACATATATATATATGTATATATATATCCCATGTTGTCTGCAAAGTGACAGTTTTTAGTGCTTAATCTCCAAATTTTTCCCCCTACTGATACAATCTAAAGAGCACAGGCTCAAAGAGAAAATGACAAGAAGCTATTGTTCCTTCATTCAGGCACATGAAAGGATCATGTGTACTGTATTTGCTGGACCATTACAAGCTCTTGAAGGATCTGCTTGTGAAGTGCTCTGAGGTTATTCTTGGAACACAGAGTGTGGGAGAGTGGGGAAGAGCCAGCTCCAGCCTGAGCAAAGCTGAAGGGTGGAATGACAGTCTAGTTTCTGAAAAGAGAGAGATTTTAATTTCAGTTCAGCTTTATGTTCCTAAGATGATATGAAGCCTACTTTTTTGTAATTTTTGGCTAGATCTTTGTTTTCTACCTTTGTTTCCAAAAGGATGCTTAAGAAAACAGTTTTTTCCCCCATCCATTCATTGCCCTACTGAGAAGAATTAACCTTCCAATCATGACCAGCTTCCATTCCAACTTTTCATACACCTGACTAACTTGTAAACATCTCCCACAAATCACATACACAGGATACCTACTAAAACTCTCCCATAAACCTAACACATACATACATAGGCCCACACATACAAAATATATGCATATCACACACTTAGAGGATGACAGATTTCAGGCAATGCCAGTAGTAAGTATTGAGTTTCTCTGACCTCAGAATCTGGTTGGGCTTTATGATCTAAAAGCTGTGGTCTGGAAAAGAGGATAATTGGTAAAGCTATAGTTTCAAAATATCAGGTCAAAGTTGCAAAAATACTAATGATGGAATCATTTCATTATTAGTTTCTTTCCCAGAAAAGCTGAGAGAGCACACTGTTCCATCTGACCTTTTTTTTTTTTTTTTTTTCCATTAATAGCCCTTCTATTCAACAAAGAACTGCCCACATGCCAGGAAAGTGCTACAGTCCTTCTAAGCATTTAAAAATGGGGATCAAGCTAGATGCAGCCAGTTGGAATACTTAAGATCTTTATGCCAAGGCACAATAACCTGGACTGCAGCTGTTGTATTGACCCCATAGTATATCTAGCCAAACTGTAGTCTTTTGGACACACAACTTTTTAGTCATTCGCTATCACTTGCAAAGCTTCATGCTCCAGGCCTGGCTGCTTCTAGTACCAGTCCTATACCTTTAAATGGGGTTTAATTCCCAGTTATAATCCTGGCCAAATTGATTTGAAAGTCAAGTGGTTGAAGCAGCTGGCATCTCCTTTGTCATTCCCAATTTCCTTTGGGGGAAAGAAGTCAATGAAAGAGATTTACTTAAGTTTTTCCCCCTTATCTATTGATCATTAATTATTAAGACATGGGTAAAATTTTTTTATCTCATGTCTTTTGGTTGATTGAATAATATAGTTACTTTTTGAAGACCCATAATTTCTTTGTGATAAAACTATTTTTCCCAATGTGACAGTCACATATAAAATGTGAAACTAACATTTCTTAGAATAATTAAAATCTTCACAATTATATATGGCCCTGCAATACTCCCTTAGTACCTCCCCCCAACACAAAGAAACTATGAGCTGCAAAAACACTAATTACAAATTAAGAAGCAGAGAGATTATGTTAAGTGGCTATGTTCTTTAAAAGTTTACAATGTAATAGATGACTTCTAGGCAAAATTTTGGTATGATTACCATTAAACAGAAAAACATACCATGCTTTACTTTCTATAAGCTGCTAATCACTATTTCTTTGATTTCAATTTTTGATATTATTGCATAAGTTTATAACTCTTTGGCCTTTCTATTTAAAATTTATTAACTATCAATTCTTCCTTCCAACAAATATGTACTGAACACCTGGTGTGTTAGAACAATTGTCTTGGGTAGTAAAAAGAGGGGAACACTACAAATTCTAAGGGATAATATTAATGAAGGGTGGCATGAAATAATCAAGCCTTCTCAAATCCTCTTAATATGTGATTTTATCAAGGGATATTAGAAAAACTGACATCAGTTCTTGTCTAATTATATGTGAGCTGAAACTAAAAGATACTTCTTTTTCCTAAATTAATGGAACTCACTGGATCTTCTTTCATCTCTCTCCTCTCATCTGAAATTTATGAATTAAATCTGGACTCAGCTAGGACTGAATCAAATGAAAACGAAATTTTTTATTAATTGCTTTTTCAATGTTAGACCTATATAAGTGATGCTATATTTACACCAGAAGACTCCTAGCAGACATTTTCAAGGAGGGTTTGACTCATGCATAACCCAGGAAACATTTCAGGACACTTTTAAGACAACCGTTTGGAACATAATCACTCTTACTTCTATTTATAAAAAGCCTATCAAAATAGCAAAATCCTGTTCTAAGTTCCAAAGACATCACCTTGCAGCAGGTGGAAAACAGAGCGGTCATTACACTCTGTCACTTTCAGCTGGAGTTATAAACCATCAAATTAATAAGTGGAAAATTTTTATTCTCAGAAGCCAACAGGAGACTGCATTTTTAGAAGGTGTCAGGAAGCCTTCTCTTTCTCAAAATGTAACTCAATATTTCTTTTTAAAATGGCATCTGCTCCTTATTCTCTTGAAGACAGTTAGCAGTACCAGTATAGCCAGCGTATTAAAAATCAAGCTTAAATGGTAAGCACCTTTGTGCTTTTGAAGACAAGACTTGTCTGTAATTTTAATTGGAACTGTTGATTGTATTCTTACCACAACCAAACCCAAAGTTTAAAGCCTGATCACTCTTAGGTCTAATATGAATTTGCAACTTCTGATCGCATTACTTTTTCTGAAATCTGCTAACTAGTACTGGAATAACAATAATGCTTAAGCCAAAATGCCATAGCTTTGCACCAATAGCACAACTCATCAGATGTTTTCTGTAGTATTAAGGAATTTAGGTAATTTAAGTGAATATCAGCAATTTAAATACCCACCAGAATTATGGAAGTATCAGAGTGGAAGTGAGGATGGAATATAGCTTAATAAGTGGTGATGTCTTTTAGGAATTATTAAAAAAATGTTCAATAGAGGTAAGCTAGATCTTATTACACTATAAAGACTAGAGTTGCAAATGGCAGAACCAAACCTAGAAGGAGCAGTTACAATGTAGACACCGTTTCAGCCCAGTTGGTGCTCACATCTGCTGACCAACATTCATATCAATTGCATTTTTACTGTCTATAAGTCATTTGATGCTTTAGAATAATAAAAACACACACCTACAGCATTCAAAATGAACTATTTTGTTAAAAAAATTAAACAAATTTTATATTAAAATAACTGATCAGTGACTTTCGTGATTGTAAAAAGTAAAAAGTACAGACATTTTAAAAAGCTCTTCTTTAACATTTTACCTATCAAATCTAGATATTCAGTGTGACTCCTTAAAACAGTCACTTCTAATTTCTACTTCAACTCCTTTCTTGGTTTTTTCAAACTAGATCATGAAACCTTCTTTCTAAACAATGTAGGTGGTTTTTTGTTTTGTTTTGTTTGTTTGTTTTGTTTTTTGTTTTTTTTTTTTTGCAAGAAATTCAAGCTCAAACATTTGATATGACCTGTGTTTTATGTGGTGATCAGTTCTGGGACTCGTCTAAGTCTGTACTATCTTGGCATACCTTGGGTTTCCTATCCTGAGAGTGGTAATGCCAATAGAATGATGGGAAGCAGGAGAATGGATTTGATCGGATTCAATGCCTAAACCAATATGTTTCAGTTCACTTTTCTATGTAGATTTTAAAATATTACATCTAGCCTAGAATTTTAGTATATACACATACTTGTTGTATCCGTGGGTAATGAGGTCATTTCCAAGATGTAAGTCACACTGGTGACTACTTTCTTTTACTTGTGATAAATATATCACTATACAGGGTAATTGCTTTTATAAATTTGATCCTTTGCA